TACTTAGGGGAGGTAGTATTCACACCCTTAATCCTAGTGCCTTCAGGCCTAGCCCCAGCATGAATCAATCACACCCTCTAGATTCAGCCACCTCTGAAAAAGTATGAGGCTTTGGGGGGACATCTAAACACAAGCCATAATACTGGTTCCAGGCAGAAGCATCATGGTGGAAGAATGTGGTAGAGTAAAGCTGTTCACTCCATGGTGGCCGGAAGCTGAGCACAGGGGAACAGCACCAGCAAGAGATCAACACTCCAAAAACGTGCACCCAGTGACCCACTTCCAACTAGGCTCCACCTCCTAGCAGCACATCCAGCCTCGAACTGATGAGTACAGCACCCCCAGGAATCTCTCAGCTATCCAGGAATCTCTTAATTCAGTCATTTTGGATGCTAATCCACTGAAACACACTTAAACTAGGTTATTTATTGATTGGTTGGCAAAATTGTGGGACCAGCAGCTTACAGAAACCCAACCCTGGGAACAATGGTTCAATATTTGCCAAAATATTTGTGATGACTTTATGTAACAAAACATGAATAACAAGAAATGCAGAGAAAATGCCAAAATACACATGATTTTCACAATTTCTTTACCATAACTTTATAGTTTGTATTGATTCAAAAACCTAAAAGGAAGCTAAGACCACTCCCTAACACAAAAAATAATTATATTTTAGTTCTTAAAAATCTTTGTGTAATTAATTTTGAAGTCTCTGGAAGTTTAGAGAAATAACAGCAAAACTAGATGCCACATCCCATGAATCTCTTGCCTCTACTGTGACCCCTGGCTTAATGGACATACCAAGACTCCTGTGGGATATTCCAGTTCCATAAAATGTTGACCTGAGAAGCCCTGGACACCCTGCTGAAGATCTGGCCCATTAGGTCACAGATGGCTGTGTTCTATGGTTTCCTTAACAGTTGATCTTTGAGGTTTCTGCCCTGTGCTTCGTTCAGTTGGCCCAGAAGCCTTAGAAATCACGTAATGGGTCTTCCATGGAAGGTGAAATTTCTTGTCTGAAGCTCCTCATGTATGCCCAAGTGAGAGACTTAGTAAAGAAACTAACAAATATTATTCTAGCTTTAACCATAACAAGGCAATTCTTGATCTCTCTAAATGATCCTGATTTCAGCAACCTATAAAGTTCTTTACATGAAAGTTAGACCTCCAAGGAGTATTAAATATTATTTACTGTCGAAATTTCAAATCAAGTAGTTTAAAAAGTGAATTTTCAGGGCCAGGGATTTAGCTCAGTGGCGTCGTGCCTGTCTCCCAAGCTCAAGGTCCTGATTTTGATCTCCGGTACCAAGAAAAAAAAAAAAGTGAATTTTCTTATCAGAAAAGGAACTATTCCCTAAAGAACAATTAGGAGCTTCTAAATGTAGTAAGTCAGAAACCACAAATATGTTAAGTTATCAAGCTTACTATCAAACAAAAGCTCCTTAGTACAATAAATAATTTTAATTAAACATACTTATTTCCTTTAGTTCAAACAATGTATTTCCTTAAAAATGAACTAGAGGAAATGAAAACTTAATTTAGGAATCTGATTCAGATACAGAAAATGCAGATCCTCTCTTGAAAAAAGAAGTCTGAATCTGTTATGAATATAAACTAAAAGTAATTTTTATAGAAGATTTATAGAAACAGGCATGGCTACTTTAAAGGCCCCCCATGTACAGCTGTTAAGTTTGTTTAAATCCGAAAACCACATCTGTTAAGTGAGTATAAGGTGTCAGTGATGGGCTGAGGGCAGATTTGGGGTAAAAGGGACAATTCTGCTATTGCCAGAGAAATCAGTAGCTGATGCAAGGAGAGAATACAGTGAGGCATTCCCCAAAGGGGAGGCAGCAGGGCAAGGTCAGGGGGCAGGAATTCCACAGGGAGGACCTGAGGACAAGGACTCAGCCCTTCCTGCAGCCTTCCACTTTCTGAAGGTTTCCTCCTCCTCAGAGTCCCTCTCCTAGCACACTCTGTTCTCACCTTATTTCTTTGACCACCCTTTTGGTTCCTGTATTTTCAGACTATTCTGTGCTGGTTTTCAGACCTTGATGTCCGACTGTGTGCTAGATACTTCTTGGCAGCTTATCCACACTTAAAATTCAATGGATGGAAAGCAGAAATGTGTCTGCTCCTCAGCCTGCCCCTTTCTCTAGGCCACGGCCATGACATTTGTTCAGCGCAACCACAGTCCTATTTCAGAGTTCACAGTTCTCGCTCTGCTCTCTCTCTTGCCATCTCTGCTCTCATTGGATCCCATGGCTTCCTTCTCTCCATGGCAGTGAGGTCTGCATGCCCTCCACCTGGCCTCCCGCTCCCCAGTGGTTCACCTCTTACCTAGGGGCTGATGCTACATGAATACCTCTTCCCGCAACACCATTCCCTGTTGGCTTCTAGCAGAGGATCCATTCCTAAAGTTGGTCCTGGGGGGGGGGGGTTGGGGAGTATTTCCTTGCTCAACAGCCTTCAGACAGCTCAGCACTGCTTCAGCTTCAGGCACCAGGCTCTCCAAAACAGGGTTCTACTATATCGTCTCAGTATTCTTTCCCACACGGAGCAGTGTAGCACAGGAGAAAAGACATGGACTTTGGAGTCAGAGCCAAGTTCAGACTCCAGCACTGGCTCTTCAAAGCTGCGGGGCCACAGGCAGGGCATTTATTGCTCTGAACTCTTTCTTGGCAGAACTGCAGGGCAGGTAGTGATTGCAGAGATGGGAAAGCAGGGAGGTGATATTAGGGAAGCTTCTCACAAGGCTCTGCCCATGTGGATTATGGACTTACACGTGGGTTGAGCTCTTTCATGTGGCGGCCACATAATGTGTCTTTTAGTCAAGGACCCGAGAGTTTTTAAAATGGAGAACCCCGAGGATCCTTCATCAGTGTGCAGCAGTTTTCTGCTTACGCTGGGGAGTTTTCAGCAGAGCTGAAGGGAGGGAGCCAGTTCACAAAGGAGACACAGGCTTTTTAGGTGGAGCTGATGCCATTAGCCCTGACTCGCTGGGTGAGCAGGGCCCGAGAATCGGCAGCAGCGCGTGGAGAGCAAATCCCTGACTCAGACATGTGAACCACGTGCCCACTGCAAGAGTCAGAAGGCTACACTTTTGTCAGATTTAAAACTTTTAAGGGTGCTTAGGATTTGAGAGTCCAAAATGAAGAAAGCACAAGATCCTCAATGGCCATAAGATGCTCATTGGCGTCATTCAGATGCCTAGGATAGTATCTTGCATGTAGGAGGTGCTTAATTAAAATATGATGAATGAATAAGGGGGTGGCGGGCATCTTCTATATACCCTAGAGCAGAGCATTCAGAAGATCCTTAATAAATACAGGGTGGGGAAAACACTGGTTTATACCCTACCTTGTCAAAAGTATTTGTAATGTACCAGAACAAACATCATGTATTTCTATTCTACAATAATTTTATCATCATTCTCGTTCCTTTTAAAATGAACTAATCACGTATTTATTTTTCCTATCACAACACAGGGTTGTTAGGCTTAAAAGTGGGTGAGCAGGGCAAAATGAACTTTTTATCTGGAGTTTAAAAAAAACGGGTCTAAAATCGGTGTGGATACACTGAGTGGAATGAAGGGAAGAAATAATCTTTTAAAAGGCTGGAAGAAGGTGGAGGACAAGGAGCCATGAGGTGTGTGGGACATGTTTGACGCGTGTGCTTGGAAAGAATGTTCCATTTATACACTGCACCCGCCCCAGCCCGGAAATCTGGGCGGTGCTTATTCCTGGGTGAGGGGAGCACAGCCGAACCCTCCCAGGCAGGAAGAGGGGTTCGGGAAAGTGACAACCGCTACACGACACACAGCAGGAGGAGCTCGGGGTGGGGATCCCGGTGTCCCCAGAATTCAGGGTACAGGGACAGGAAGTGGGGAGCTAGCCTGATGCATTTGGAGAACGGGAATAGGGAAGTTCGGCTGGAATGACGGTGGGATACCAGGAGAGTCAAGGAAACCAAGTCAAAGAAATAAATGTTTAAGATAGATTACAGAGTGCCTTCACTAATACAATAAAGAATTTAGTTTTTAATCCATGTCAGTCATTTTGAAATTTTTGAAGCAATAAGATCCTTTTGTTTTCTTTTAAAACTTTTTAAAAAATTGGTTATGCAGATTAATTGGCAGAGCCCCACGTGCCATAAAACCCTTCGACCCTTTCACCCTCACTCCCCACTAGTTTCTCATTATGGGTTGGGGGGTCGATGCATACACTGCTATATCGAATCTTTTAACAGTAAACCTTAGGAGACACCCATATGCATAACGCGTGGAAAGGGGGTGGTTTGTCTGGGGGAAGCCACTCCCCGCCCCTGTCCCCCCACTCTGAACAGTTTGAAAGCGGCTGTCCTGACGCAGGCCTGTGGGGGCCGGGTGACAGTGCCAGTGGCCTGGAGGAACCCGGCCTAGAGGCCAAAGCCGGGGCCTGGGCCGCCGGGCCTGGCGGGAGTGGGAGACGGGAGAGGTCAGAGGCCGCTCAAGACAGACCTCGGCGAGGGTGGAAAAGGGCCCCTGGTCCCGTTTAACGACAGTTCTGCCTCCAGACAGCTTGGCAGCCAGCACATTGACATCTACCTTTTAACATCCCCTCCCCACGCGGAACCAGGTGGAATTAAATGGTTTGCTTCAGAAACAACAAATTCTACTTGAAATGAAAGGCTTTTCCGGTGCTTTAGAAAAATCATGAAAGTGAATGTTAGTGCGTAGGGGCGTCCGAGTCCGGCCACGGTTCCGGATGTCTATTTTTGTATTTTGTTCTATTTTGTCTATTTTGTTCGAGACAGGGGCTTGCTTGGTAGTCCCTGCTGGCCTCGAACTCGCCGCGGTCCACTGCCCCAGCCTCCCGCACGCTGGGACAACAGGCAGCGGCAGACCCCAGCCCACGCCCCGCCCCTCCGCCCGCGCCCCGCCCCGCCCCTCCGCGGCACGCGGCACTCGCCTCGCCCTCGGTATTAAAGCGCGGGCGGGCGGGCGGCGCGCGGCCGCAGAGATGCAGCTCCCGCTTTGGTGCTGCCTGGGGGCGGCGCTCTTCGCGGCCCCTCGGTGGGCGTCGGCGGTCGAGAACGCGAGCTGGGAGCCGGGCGACGGCGGCGCTGAGCCCGCGTGCGCCGCGCGGCTGGAGCCAGGGCCGGGCGGGCGCTGCGGCGGCGGTGGCGAGGCCGGCGAGTGCGCGCTGCAGGTGCGCCTGCCCCCGCTGGCCATCCCGTTGCCCGCGCCGCTCGGCAGGCTCGAGGAGGTGTTCAAGGAGGTCCAGACCCTCAAGGACGCCGTGGCCAGCCTGCGGAAGTCCTGCCAGGACTGCAGGCTGCAGGCCGACGAGCACCGAGACGCCCCGCTGCCCCCCAGCCCGGGGCCCCCGGGGGAGGACGGCGACCTCCGCGTGCAGGACCTGGAGAGCCAGGTGCACAAACTGTCGTCGGAGCTAAAGGGAGCCCGGGAGGAGATCGACGTGCTCCACCGGCGCCTGGAGCAGCTGAACCTTGTGAACATGAACAACATTGAGAACTACGTTGACAGCAAAGTGGCCAATCTGACAGTTGTGGTCAACAGTTTGGACGGGAAGTGCTCGTCCCAGTGCCCCAGCCAAGAACACGTCCAGTCCCGGCCCGGTATGTGAAACAATGTCTCCTTATCAGTTGTTCGCGACTGTATCTATAAACATTAACCGGAGCCCGTAAGTTACACACTTGATGGGTTCAGAAAATAAGCCTTTTATTGGTTAAAGTTGTCTAGGGAAAACAACTGTCTCCTCCTAGGGGCCGGCAGAAGTGCTAAAGGACCTAGTTACGGAAGTCACCGTTAGCTCCGTAGCCATTAGAAAGCACTTTGAATTTCAACATCTTATGTGCTAATGCCAGACCTACACACAAGCAGAAGCAGAGAGGATTTCCTTATGGGTTAGGGCATCTGCAGAGTACTTTATCGCTTCACTGAAGTGTTTAAAAACAGATAAGGCAGTGTGTGCAGTTGTGCTTGTTGGTTGGAAATCAGCTTCTCTTGTGGTTGGCCGACTGCCACTTCTCATGTAGCAACAAGTGGTCTTTGCAAGATTTGAGCAAGCAACCTGCTAAATAATCGTAATCTCAAATATTAGGTGAAAACAGATTGTATAGTTGGAATAAAAGATGCTTCGTGTGTAAAACCTTTTGCTTTGAGACCTAGTAGCACAAAAATGTTTTAAGTGGAGAATTTTGGCATGCATCTGAGGGAAGGAAGATATTCTTAGCTCTCTTTTACCTTAGCTAGCATCCAAGCACATAAAAACAAAACCCAGTTTACTGAACTTTAATGCACACACGTTAAAGACCACAGACCTAACTGCCTCCTCTGCCCATGTGCTGCAGGGGCACTGGTTCCCCCAAGCCCGGTCATTCCACTTGGATTCCTGGAATCACTGTGGCTGTTACCCTTGGGAAAGCCATTTTGGTCTTAGGGGCTCTGCTTCCCGACAGTGAGTTTGAGGGACGAGACAGAGGTTGCTGGCATGGAACACTGTACTGAAGGTATGCCCCATCCCCAGGGAGCTGCTGGTGACAGGAAGTCATGTTTTCCAGGACCACTGTTGCTAATACTCCTGGCAGTCCGTATCTGCGTGTCCCCTGTGTGATGCAAGACAAGTTCACAGCTTAGGTGACCCTACACGGCGACTTGTAATGATGTGAACAAGATTCTGTTATTCTTTTTTCTCCTGAAAATTTTGGGGGAAAAATCTGAATATGAGTTCTAAATATATACGAATAGATTTTCATGCCTTAGAATATCTTCTATTAAGCTTATCTGTCACTGTTTATAAAAATTATCTGGCAGTGTCTTTGATGTTTCTTTCTAGAACCAAACGTGTAATACTGGCTGAATACTCCTTCCTGGATAATAAATGTAGAGTAATATTGGTATACTGTTGAAAAACGACTTTTCTCTTGAGTTTCTCTACAGAGTTGTCAAGTAAAATAAATGTAAATCTACAATTGATGCTGTACCGTACAACTTTAATACATTGTTTGGAGCATATTCTATAAAGCACCCAATGTGGAAGCCATAGGCTACTTTCGGGTTAAAGGAAACAAGTGAGGCTTCCACTGCGTACCTAGAATGTGCATCTAGGAAGGCGATTCATGTCAGAATTTTAGGCAGATGGATGCAGTGCTTATGAGAAGAACCTCTGCTGCCACCCAGACCTGAGTTTATGTCCTAGCTCTGCCCCTCAGTGCCTGTGTGAACTTTGGAAACTGCTGACCCAATTTAGGCCTAAATATCCTCATCAGCAGCAAACTGGCAAAACACCTGCATCACAAAGTGGTCCATGAAGCCCTTATCTGGTCTCTGGCAGGGTGCCTGGGACACAGTAGTCCTCATTAAACATCACTTTTACTTACTCTTTTCTTGTTGCCATTTGTAGGTGATTATTGCCAACCAAGGGTATGTTAGAGTCCTGTCCACTTTGTAACACCAGACCATGTCCTGAGGCTTCCATGACCATTTCCTAACCAGACATGGGCAAGTGTAGCGGAACAGGTTTCCTTTAGAGCCCTTCAGTAAATGATCAGACTGCCTTTGAGTACATAAAGAATTCTAGAGACGCATACGTTTCATGAGCAATCCCCAATGTCTTTTCCTCTCCCTTCAGTTCAACATCTGATATACAAAGATTGTTCTGACTACTACGTAATAGGCAGAAGAAGCAGTGAGACCTACAGAGTCGCACCGGATCCCAAGAACAGCAGCTTTGAGGTGCTCTGTGACATGGAGACGCTGGGCGGTGGCTGGACGGTCCTGCAGGCACGGCTGGACGGCAGCACCAACTTCACCAGAAGCTGGCGAGAGTACAAGGCAGGCTTTGGGAACCTCCGCCGCGAGTTCTGGCTGGGAAATGATAAGATTCACCTCCTGACCAAGAGCAAGGAGATGATCCTGAGAATAGATCTCGAGGACTTCGATGGTGTCAAGCTGTACGCCGTGTATGAGCAGTTTTACGTGGCTAACGAATTTCTCAAGTACCGTTTACACGTCGGTAACTACAACGGCACGGCCGGGGACGCCCTGCGTTTCAGTAAGCACTACAACCACGACCTGAAGTTCTTCACCACCCCCGACAGAGACAATGACCGCTATCCCTCCGGGAACTGCGGGCTCTACTACAGCTCGGGCTGGTGGTTTGATGCCTGTCTTTCAGCAAACTTAAATGGCAAATACTATCACCAGAAATACAGAGGTGTCCGCAATGGGATTTTCTGGGGCACCTGGCCTGGGATGGGGGAGGCACAGCCTGGTGGCTACAAGTCCTCCTTCAGAAGGGTCACAATGATGATTAGACCCAAGCACTTTAGGCCATAACACTGGCGCTCATTTCCCCAGGCCTTTATGTCTAATAGCACGATCACATGCCTTCAGCACTTTGGAGTATGCCTTGTTTCAGAATCCTTTTCCACAGCCCACAGGTCTCTGAGCACAGGTCATGTGCTGCATAGCATTTCAAGTAAAGCTGAAAAATATTCATTTTAAAGACTCCTTTGTTGCTGTTAGCCAGTGAATGCTTGTAAGCATTGGAAATATTAAAACAGATTATAAGTCTTTTGATTTCTATTAGAAAGGTCTTCATTATTTGTACTACTTTCTATTATAAAAATTGCTTATTCGGCAAGCTAGATTCTACACAAAGCAATCTCCATTTTGGCTGTGATCAAATGTACACATTTGAAAATATATCACTTTTTTCAGGCTAAAAACGTTTATTTGTATATTTGTCTCAATACTGCAATGTTTATTCTGAGATAAACTCACTTCGTGGCATTTATTTCGGGCCAAGAAGACCTTTAGTTTGCAAATAAAGGGAAATCATGTATGTAATTAAGCCTGTTCATGTAATATTCATGAAATTTAAAATATGAAAAAAAAAAACCCCTAAAATAAAATATGGCATTTTCTGCCACTTTAATTTGGTACATTTTTAATATTGTAAAATGTGGTATAATGTCACCAAAATATTCAGAAAATAATATAATCTTGATAACTGTGGTTCAAAGTATTTCATTTGTAGTCTAACTTGTTGGATATCAGATTGTAAAAACCACTTTAACATAAAAATTTATTTTCCTCAGTTCTGTTTATACAGTAGTTTTTATGAGCTTGCTCACTACTGTGATAGACTACTAGTCACTTTTATCTTTTAGGGTAGAAATAGGTGGAGAAAGAAGTATTTATTTGTACTTTGAAGGCCAATTTTATATCGAGAGCCTTAATATCATTGAATAATACACATGATAGGAAGCCAAGTTTTCTAGAATGAAGATAAATTAAAACATTTGAAATATATAAAAAGTAGCTCTAATATTATATATTTCAACCCTAATGGATTTCTTATTTTGCTATCAGAAATTCAAAGATTGGTATTTACTTTAACCAAATGAAAGTACCTGGAACTTTTATAATTTGCTAATTCTGAAATGCTAAGTGTTGTATTGAAATGATTATTAAAACATTTAATATCATAACTATTGTTTCAGAAAGAACAGTATTCTGTAAAGTTTTAAAATGCTCTCAATTTGAAAATTTGAAGTAATTAGTCCTACTGTGAGTCATAGCAATGAGTTTGATCTTTAATTTCTAGTGTTTATTTCTAATACAGTGACCAAGTTTTCAAAATATTCACAAAGATGCATCTTTGCCCATTCTTTGAAGATGATTAAGGGACCAGGCGTGGTGGTGCACACCTGTGATCCCAGCACTGGGAAGGCTGAAGCAGGAGATTGCTTGCTGAGAGGCTACCTTGAACTACATAGTGAGACCCTCCCTGTCTCAAAAAGCAAACAAAAATTTAAAAAGTGATTAAGGAGGACTGTTGTTTTATGTAACAAGTTAGTTGTTCAAATATTAGACCCTTTAGAAAATCTTAAGCCAGATATTCTTTCAAAAGTGTTTAACACAAGGTTTTTGGGAAATATACAAAACAAGTTATTAGGAATATTATTACAATATTAGAACAAATAAGTGCAAGTAGAATTAAATGATCAAAATGTCAAATACAGATTTTAAGCCTGTGTATCTACCAGTGGGATACTAAATGTAAATGATATAACCAATTCTATTTCTCTTTTTTGCTTTTTAAAAGACTAAGATTTTGATATCATTCAATGTATTTGTGTCAGATAAAGGCATGTATGTACTAAGTGTAATTACTAATACATGTATAAGTAAATTTCTAATCACAAAGTGCAGTTCTAAAGAAACATTGCTTATACAAACAGTGCCTACTGATTTTAATGGGAACGAGACATCTTTTCAGGAGAATTTGGCAAATAATCCATGTGAAGACTGTCTTTGCACATTATTTCAAAAGATCAAAACTTTATTTTCTATTATACTTTTATTACACTTTCCTAATTCCTTAACACAGAAATTCCTTTCTGGAATCATTTCCTATCATTCATTATAAAATATATTCTAGACTTTGGTGATCTTTAACATGTTGACAGTAGGTTGTATCTGAAGGGCCTTTTGCCTTAATATATGATAATGTTCATAAGTGTAGGCTATTTACAAATATGCTTTTTAAGAGTCTTATCTTGGTTTCATTTATTTTAAGACCTCATTTCTAAAAGTTACAATTTTTAGAAAATGTTGACTGAAACTGAGTTTTAGAGATTCAAATTAGAATTGCCTCACCCATCACTGAAGGGGGAAAAAATCAAAATTTACTCGGAGTAATGCTCCAAATGGATTATTGGCACATACATCAGTTTTGTTTAGTTTTAGTTTTTTTCCAGTACTGGGGAATTGAAGCCAGGGGCTTTGCACTGAGCTATATCCCCAGCCATTTTTTCTTATTTTGAGACAGGTCTCACTAAGTTTCTCAAACTGGTCTCAGATTTGCAATCCTTCTGCCTTAGTGTCCCAGAATGCTGGGATTGCAGGTATTATTTTTGACTAGCTACTCAAGAAAAGGTTTGCAATTTAAAAGGGATGGGTAATGTCATTGCAATAACCTCTTAAATTTCCTTTTATGTGTACTTAGGGTTATGTTTCATGTTTTTTACAACCTTGTAAAATAAGTTTTAATCTTCACCTCGGTTCTTCAGTGTGGAAACTTTGTAAAATATTCACCTATTTGCTTGTTTGAAAAGTGGTATAAAGTTTACCTAATGTAGACAATATCTCTGACTCTTTGACGATGTTAACGATACTGTTTCCTTAATGGGAAGAAAGGGGCAAATAGAGGAACACCAGAATCTTATTTCCCTCTAGAATTTTGATACATTTGCAATATGAAGTTTTCAGGTTCATTTTGTGTCATTCAATTTTCCTCCTCTTTTCCCACTGTTACTGTTGCTGATATGGCTCAGCTCTGGTGATTTCCTTGGGATGATGCGAACATTTCCTAATGGCAGCCTGTACCTCACTCACAATCATTTTCCATATCACTGTCAGATTTTTGAGAAGTACAGTTCTGATGTTTTACTGTCCTGCTAAGAACTTTCAACAGCTCCTCACTTCCTGTAAGATAAATCCCAGCATGCAATCCCCTTCAGGAACCGATTTCTGCCTAACCACCCAGGGTCTCACTTGCCACACAGAATACCTTCTGCAGGAACAAATCATCTCGCATATTTTCACTGTGCTGCAGACGGTCCCTAGGTCCACACACAACGCCATCCTTGCTACCCCTGGGTCTTGCCAGGCTTCCAAGTTTGCATTTCAGCTCTACCATTTGCAAGCTATGTGATCACGGCCAGTCACTTAAACTCCATGTTCTTTGGTTCTGTCGATTACAACATAGGGATAATAAATCTGCCTGGTAGATTTACTGGAAGGATTAAATAAGATAACAAAGCACCTAAAACATACATGTGTTTTTGTGGCCCACCCCCCACCCCCCACCCCAGGTCCCTGTTCCGCTTCCTGTTTGGTTCTTCCCCGTCCCGAGTTCCCGTTCAGGTGCCACCTGTAGCCGACCCACCCACCCAGCCGGCCTTGTTTCAGGACCTAGACCCACTACTTTGTGCTCCCTGACCCAGAGTGGGCAGAGGAGGAGGAATGACGGAGAGAGACATGGAGCCAGATTAACATGCGGACAGCCAGGAAGCTCTTGCCTCTTAGTAGGAAGAGGGCCTGCCTCGTCCTTGCTTTTATTCACCCAAACACGGACACAAGACATCAACATAACACAAGGTTCAGCTGCTTTCCAGCATCCATTTGTACACACTCTAGTAAACAACTTAACCTCAGCTGTCTGAACTTTTCCCTGGAAAATGTGATGTGCGGTCACCCCTGTGGGCAGGCAGCCTTGCTCCTCTGTGCTCTCAGAGGAGGCCGATTAGCCCTTGATTCTCCTCTGGTCCCCACAAAGTTGGTTTCTTTTGTCATCATCCTGAATAGCTCTCTCTTCTCTGCAGTGTTCCCTGATGACATCAGGTGGGGTTCGCAACTTTCAGTTTTGATTCTGCACCGTCCTGTGTGTTCCTTCTTGTGTGTGATTTAAAAACTCTAGGTTTTACCCTGAAATCAATGCGTTTGGATAGAAGTAAAGCAGATTTGAGACCCAAGTATGGTTACTCAAAGTGCTTGGGAAGGGCTTGCCAGTGAGGATGAGCTGTGATTCAAAGAAGCCGGAGTTGTTACTTGGAAAGGAGCGCTTACTATCAAGTCTGAGGATTTCAGAGGTTAAATAAAGTGGCTCGGGGGTGTGGCAAGGCTGGATTATGCACACTGTAGGACAGGGTAGATAGCTGTCCTGGGAATGTGCCTCTGCGTACTTGCTATGAACAGGGATTTGGCCTCCTGGGCTGAAAAAATGATTGTTCAACTCGACTGAGTTCCTAAGGAAAGGCAGTATGTTTCATACTACTTACAGTATAATTCCGAAATGAATTTTCTCCATACAAAACTACCTGAATTTTAAAAAATTAAACACACAGAAGATCCCTTGGCAAACCACCTTCACTTCCTGTCTCCCCCTTCTCCCCAAGGCAACAAGCCAACTCTAATTTCACTCTGCATTGCCAAGTTGCAACACCTACTGACTCATAGCCTCTCCAGGTCTCTCTTGTTTATTGATTAGAAAAAGCTGAAAACAAAGAGGAAAGAGGTGCAAATGGGACCAAGCCTCCCTTCCTGCTTGAAGTGGTCTCCCCCAACATTTGATGAGGCTTTTCCCGTCCTGCTGGGAGAAACTGCTGTTTTCTTTCCTGAAGGAATGCTCTTAATTCTGTCAGACTACCTTCATCCCACGGACCCAAATCCACAGATCTGGAGTCTACAGCCTTGCGAATTTTTCTCAGCAGAAGGCTAGGGAAGACATGTAGACAAGTTCTGCAGTTGCCTAAGGAAGAATAATTTTAGATGTCACTGAATTTATTAATGAAGTTATATTTACGAGAATGCAGAAGTGTTTGGTTCTACTATTTGCTTGCTTAACTAACCCAAACTTAGATTCAACAGCAGCTCTTGTTAATTAACATCAAGAAGCCTGAAGTGTCTTAAAACTCAAAAAGACTTTTAGAGTTAGGAAATCCAGGGTACAGTTAGCCTTAATTCTTTCAGTGAAAACTTAAAATATACACCATGTGCAGAAGTTTTCTAGGAGGCTGGAGATAATATCAGTGGCCAGTACAGATAAAAATCCATACAAGTTTACACATTATCAGAGCAGGCAACTAAATGTGATAAATGCTGTGAAAAAGGAAGCAGGATTTTATTTCTGCAGAGAGTGAAAAAAAGGGGAGCCCAAGCCAGGTGATATCCGGGAGAAGCGTGTTCCAAGCCAAAGGAGAATGGAGGTGACAGTCTGGAGCCTGTCGGCAGACTTGAAGCTTGGCAGAGAGGCCCATGTAGGAGAAACAGTCCTGACTGTGGGCGTAGGAGATGAGATCAGAGAGAGACTGGGGGTGCTGCAGGTGAACAGGGGTGGGCAGGGATCACGTGGGCCTTGTATGCCACGATAAGGGTTCTGCCTTATAGTCTGGCCACATAAGAGACATGAGGGGTTTGAGTAGCAGCGAAAAGATCCCACCCAGTTTACAAGCGTCACACTTATTGCTGAATGGCAGCAAGGACTGGAGCAAGGGCCCGGTTTGATGGTGCTGACATGGATCTCGGTGAGAGATGGAAGCATGTGCCACTGTGGGTGCAGAAAAGTGCATGGCTTTGAAGGCAGACTGACAAAATTTGCTGATCAAAGATCAGCAGTGGATAGTCAGACATTAGAAGTATCACAGAAAACCACAGGATTTCAGCCCGAGCGAAAGATAGAGCTGCCACCAACTGAAATGAGGAAGTCCACAGGGAAGCCTGTCTGGAAAGTTTGTACGGAGTGGAGTGGGGGGGATGAGAATGGAATCAGAAGTCATGAGCATTCCAAGTTCCGATACCCGCAAGACATCAGAGTGGGAGTTAGTGCCAAGTTCAGGGAGGACATCGAGGATTCCGAGATACACTGGAGAGCAGCTAGATTACAGACAGTAAGGAAGCCTGCCCCCACAAGGGGCAGCCCCCACGCCCAGTAGCTGCCATCTGAGCAGTCCGGGAGTGTGCTCTGTGGAGGGGCAGACCTTGATTCCCACTGGGACACATACGTATTCGAGATTATTTCAGGTTTAGATTTGCTTTTCCTTGGTGGCAGACCAGCACCATTTTTTTGTTGAGCTGTTGTATATCTCAGAAACTATTATGGTATTAGCAACATTCTTTTGTTGACTTGCTGTGATACTTTTTAAAAAATCCACTATGGTATTCCACATAGCATTTTACAAAATGCTGCTTTTGACTAAGGAAGCCGGGTCACAGTTCAGTGACTTTTGCAGCCTCTACTCTGCCCCTTGGGAGACACCACCTGGGGACACTGAGGTCTTGCTGCACAGGAAGCAGCACATGTGGGCATGTTGCTGCGTGTACACATATGCACACAGCGAAAAAAACATGAACTGGGCCATAGGACCAGAGACTTTCTAACTTTTTTTTTTTGGTATCGGAAATCAAACTCAGAACCTTGTGTTTGCAAGGCAGGCAGTGGAACCACTGAGCTAAATCCCCGGCCCCTTTCTTTCTAATTTTTAATAGCATATTGTCCAGTTTCAAGAATCATGGATGGATATTTAATGAACTACAATCATTAAGTTAGTAGTTTGCTATTTTTTTAAACTTTTAGGCACAGATTGGTTTTATTCTCTTTCTCTTTATTTTAGGTATGTTACTGACTTTCAACTTCATTTCTGTCACAAATGTTTTCCAAAAGTTATCCAAATTAAAGATAACTAAATCTTTTATTTCTGATAGTTTTCAAGGTATTAACACTGGAAGAGCCATAGATGAATTTGCCTAGCAATTTTACTCTAAAATTCAGGTGGAAATGAATGTTACCCTCTGCATATGGTGAGGTTTCCCTTAGATGATGGATGGGTATAGCCACATACAAATACACATACACACACGCTTGTGTATGTTATTTGTACATATATATGCCTATGCATGTCATGTAACTCAAATGCTATAATATGTAAGGAAATTTGTTCATACAAATGAAATAGACCGGCAACTCCCAAAGGTATTTCAAAAGTCAATACAACAAGAATCATGAACCTAAATTCCTAGTGTAAACCAAAATTAAAGCCATTCTCTGGCTGATAGCCAGCATCTTTGTGGACATAACAGCTCTCAAAAAGATCTGTATTATTTTATTGGCAATTTCAAGAGGAAATCTGCACCCTACTCTTCTTTAGAAAAGAAGAATCACATTTAAAGATATACACACAAGGCTTCTTTTTCTTAGCACTTCAACTGGTATTACATTTGTAATTATTTTTTTGTGAGACAGGGTCTTGCTATGTAGTTTAGGGTTTAGGCTGGTCTTAAATTTACTGTGTAACCTAGGATGGCCTTGAATTCATGGCAATTCTCCTGCCTCAGCCTTGCAAAGGCTGGGCTTACAGGTGTATACCATCACACCCGGCATGTATTTATTATTTATCATTTGAATCCAACAAGTATTTACCATTTGCCTACTGTGAGCATAGATAGCATGGTGCTATATGCTTAAAGTTTTCTATATGTCTTTTTCAAAATAACTATAAATTGCAAATCTGATTTTAATCTTTAGTATTCAAGATTTTTCAAGTTAAGGAGAATGATAGTGTCTAAAATGAATTGCTCAAGAAATGAA